TTGTTCCTTGTAAAATATTATGTATCATGTATCTCTAATTAATACATTTTTGACCAAATTTAAATATTTCGCTTTACAAAATTATCAACAACATTGTTTATCAATATTATAGACATTAAGGTAATTTCCAAGTTATAGTCATATAGATAATAAATAATGGATGGGCCATCCCTATACACAGAGCGTGCTGTTACGGAAGAGAACTTATGTTAACCACAACGGTTAGACAGTGGTTAACAATGTGGATCAGTAGGTAATTCTTAAATCATAATGATAAATAATAATATTTTGTTATAGTCTGTTATTAATTATGTATAATCTAAATCTTGTCAAATATTATAAAAAATCACAACTTTAAATAAACAAAAAAAAAAATATATATATAAAAACACATTTAACTCATTAGTTTTGAAGTAGCACAAGATTAGTGCACTTGGACCTAATTGTTATTTTATCATTTAATTTATTTTTTTGACTCTTGATACAATCTTATATTTAAATACTTATAGGCCGGTTCTTACAATGTCCAGTTGAAGTTAACGGACATCACTTAACCGGCGGAATTCTGCYGGTAAAAATCCCACTAATTGTCGGTTAACCGTTAACGGACAATTAACCGGACAATGTAAGAATCAGCCATATAGATACCTATATATTTTAATAATTTAAAAAAATATTTAAATATTTTTATTTTTTTAATAATTTAAATTAATCAAAACATTCATGATAAGTGATGAGACCGTAATACCATGTTCGGAAACCAGTGCTACATTTTTAACCATATTGCCATATTGGTAACACAAGGTCTCTAAGGTCACAACATAATCGAACAATTACATRGCCCGTCCATTACTTTATTATCTATGGTTATAGTAGTACCTAATTAAATGTGTTATTAAAATACTCAACATCGCCTATAATAATATGTTGTCAGTTGATGCCTAGGCGTTGATGATATCGTCTACTAAATGATATAGGAGTTAATGTTACTTTGTTAGGCATTTATGTTATTATCTATAGTTTACATCATTGACCGCGGTAACAGCATAAAATAAAGTAACACTAAAGACATATAGCTGTCGTAATATCAGTCGTGGTGATTATAGATATAGGACTTGAACAGGCTCGCGAATTGAAGTGGTGAGCTATCGAAAAAAAATCAGTGGGCCGCTCAAAAAAAGTCTGGTCGTAAGTGTTTGGGCAATTATAAATAATACAAATTTAAAAACATTTTTTTGACTCGGTGCGGTGCGTCAAATCAATAGGTCAATTTAGAAATGTTCAATTTAAAATAGGCCTTTTAGGGCCAGTAGAAAACTATTACTCGGTAGGGCGATAGATACCTTGTCTATTCGGCGTTGGACTTGAACAATATTTTCATTATTATTATATCCGTTTAATGAAAAAAAAATGTACAACGTCCATAATATTAAAACATGTAGGTATATAATAAATATTTTAATTTCAGTTTTCCACTTAGAAATTCCAGAAAACACGTATTTGACATTGACATTCAACATGCGTACATAGATGATATAGGTACACGAAGATTATTGGGAATTAATGTATAATTACCTACAAGGTTTTACGTACATACATAGTAGGACTATGGGACGTAGAACTTARGTATATTGGTATTAAGAAATTAGTTTAGAAATATTAGGTATGTTTTWTTTTATTCAAACTTTGTGGATACAATTAGTTTCAACAATTACAATTAAAATTACAATTACGAATTACAATATACAAATACAGTAAATACAAGTTACAAATACAATAGAAATAGTACAATATCAAATTAGATTAAAAAGCGTGAATGGTTAAAGAAAGATAATAATATAGGTAGGTATGTTAAAAGTCTTATTTTATTTGTAATAGCTAGTAGGGCATAGGCAACCCTACGTACTACAAACATATTGTACAAAGATATTCGTCTGGACCAAAATAATGTGCTGTACATATTTTATAGCAAATACAATTAATAATAGTCTAGTACATTATTATTAAATTAATATTATATAAAATAGAACACAAACATTTTCAACTTGAACAGTTATGTAATAAACCCAAATTGTTGTGTGTGTGCGCATTATGTATAATATTGGTATCATATTAACGGTTGATCTTAATGCATGACATACCGATTTCGACATTCGCGATTATATAGGCTTTAAAGAAGGTAAAAAAACAATAGCCTTCTAACATGACATGGAATAAATTACATAATAATATATATTTTTTTACTGGAGAAGCCAAACAAACTGGTGGTGTACAGGAATACAATCTACCTTGTCACATATATGAATATATTTTCATTTAAAAAATACTGAACTAGATTTTAATTCAATTAGATTATACATAAGTATATTGATTATATATTTTACCAGGTGCCCATTACAGTTATATATCACCACATTCGAGTATTTAAGTACTGTAGTGACGACAACGGCGTGTGTAGACGTTTCAACTTCTACAAAGCCTTAAAATAAATCAAATTTTTAAAGACTATACCTACTTTGATTATATACAAGAAAAATACGATTCATTACTATGGTAAGCTATAAAGTAGGTACCGTGGCTTTATTATTATTATGCAGGCCTTTGTTACTTATTTGCTACTTATTAAATAATGACTAATGAGATGTTGCAAAATGTATGWACTTTAATAATTTTTCAATAATTTTTTTTACGTGTTCTAGTTGAATGTAAAGTTATTGCCTTCTTTCGTAAGCCGTTTGGCCACGTCAAATGCAACGCTAAACACCCGAAACCTTTCGTCTTTACGACAAGCCGAAGTAAGATTATATTAAACTGATAAAATGTAGATTATTGAATATAATTTTATGTTAACAGAATATCTGACTTTAAGTGGATGTTTTTTTAATAGTGTTTATGAACTTATACATTTAAATTTAAACATAATTTAATGGCATATATAAGTATGTAAAAATTGATAATATTATAGGTACCTTATATATAAAACTATAAAAGTGTTCATTACATTTTCAGATTTTCTATAATTTTCTAAAATAAAATTACCACTGACAAAACATATTATACCTACTGAATAAATAAAATTATACGTATAGGTAATTACAGTTAACTTCTAACAATTTATTTTAATCAGTCATCAGTGCTAATAGCAAGTTTTTTCAGGTCTCGTGAAAAACGTGTCTAAATATTACCTAGTGTAATGCTATTAGGATTGGGTTTTGATCATGTTTTGGTAATTTTGTAATTATTAACTATTTGAATTTTGAAGTTTGTTTATTATTTAAGTATATATTATTAACATATTGAAAAGTAAATAGTAAATATATAACTCTTTTTTTTTAATTATCAAAAATATTTATTGTTCGCAGTTATAAAAAATATGTTCCAATGTTTGTTTTGTGTGTGATATATAGGTATATACTAAATATACAATATACATAGGCACAAATCGCTGGGGGGCTAAGGGGGAATATCCGCTAAATATTCAGTTAGTTGTGTAGAGTTGAATCCTCCACAATTATGAAAAAAGGTTAGTCCCCATTGACAAATATATGGACTTTTGCTTATTGGAATATACTTTTTTAGTAAATAATAGCTATAAACAATATACGTCATAATACCATTTTATACAAAATATTGTTTAAAGTAGATAACAGTTCCGTGTATATTTTATCTAATATAAATTCTAATAGTACAGGACTATATATTATAAAATTAAATTGAATGTATTTAACCTATGTAAATAAGTCATTACTGCAGCTTACTTTGAACTCAAGTCCTCCATCGTGATAATGGCTATCAWTGCATTACAATCACACGCACATCTCTCTACTTGTCGGTATTTTCTTTAATGCCCATTCTAAATATTCTTAAATCTTTCTTAGGTTATATAAATCCACCATAATATTAAAGTCTATTCAAATTATTTTATTTTCTGAGATTCCAGTTAAAGGCAATATAATATAGTARTATATAACGGTATACTTTTACGTTAGAAATATGTGTAGGTATATTATAGTATAAGGTTAAGTATTTATATAAAATATATTATTACCTACTTTTATCAAGGTACTGTAGTATATGGTTGATAATAGGTAGATCTATTTCCAAATAGTTTAATATTAAATAAGGTATCTAATACAATATAGCTAGTCGGTAAATACGTTTTCACCCGAAAAACACTTGCAGGTTCAATATATAAGTATAGTAGATAGGTATTAGGTACGTCATAGATTTATGGTATCATTTTAATTCATTAATTACTCGGTTGTATTTTTTCTGTTTATTTCGTATTAGTAGATATTTACTCGTAATTAAACAACTTATTGGTAAATATTGWTGTCTTTAAATCATTGCTATAAAATATATAACTAGGTTTTGACTTTTTGTTATTTCGGTACAAATTTTCATCTCATTATATAAAAAAGTGGTAATTTTTTATAGTGTCATGGATTTAAATGCTTATACTGGAAACACGTAATCTAAACAATGATTTGTGAACTGGGAACACGATTCAAGCTACAAGCTGAAATCGGACAAAACATTGGTRAACTCTCCTTGTCAAATGTTAAAAATATTTTATACCAACCGATAAAGTGTCTAATGAAACATTTTATTCTCGATCGCTATAATTCATAAATTGGGTCAGTAAGGCAGTTGCCAGTTAGACATATTTTAAGTATGGGCGTGTAATTCAATCGATATTTTTTGGTAGCTGGGAATATTAAAAGTCGAACAATGAAGTTAGTATTATGTAAGCTTAATGTATAATAATAATACTTATTTTATTACTTTTCTTTTAATTTAATTAAAATGAAAAACAAGTTTCCTTAAAAAAAATTTTGATATGTTTATCCTGTATAGTCTAAACATAGTATAATATACACTATAATAGTCTATAATAAAACAAGGACAACTATTACTACCTGTCTATACCTACCTATTAATAAGTAGATATTAAGTAGTATTTTTATAACATACATGCAATATTAACTATATGTTATATAGTATGCAGTATACTATTATATAGTCTATAAACAGTATAAACTGTTATTTTACCTTGTATTATTTTATAACATTTAAAATATCGAGATAAATGTTGAGTTAAAAATTATACATACTCATAAATGTATAATATTATGTATTATAATTATATATTTACATAACAAGTACAGTACCTATGGTTAATAAATATTAATTAAAATATAAATATAGGAATATAATATAGAGGTATCTCTATATAAGGTATCTACTTATTACTTAATAATATTAACATTTAAATTCAGTTATTACAATAAAAATAAACATGGTGTCCCGTGAGGATATGCCCATTAGCCGTAAAGGGGGACTCACCGCCCTTTCAAAAACCAGTTTTTTTTGTCATTTTATCTATAAACTAAAAAATTATAAAATAGGTATCTTTATTTAAAAAAAAAATAAAAATAAATTTTTTTTAACTTTTTTACCAAAAAATTTGATTAAATTAAAAAAATACATATTATAGCACTTGTATATGACGCGAGTCTAATAAAAAAAACAGATTAATGATATATTAATTATCTCAATGGGTAAATCCTCGGGGTACACCCTATCTGTATCTAGGGGAATTACTCGAATATAATATACAGTAACGTAGGTAACAACAA